CATCGTGGCCTCAGCTTTGCAGTCTCATGGCAATGAAGCGAAACGATAACCGCCTAACTTTTTAATGTCGCGACATTGATGCGACGGTGAAGCCATAACAATGCCATAACGATGCGATGCTGAAGCGAAGCTGACGCTGAAGTGAAGCCAAAGCTTTCGCAAGAACTATACTGTACTATCTTACATTGTTCTTCTCATTTCTTTTAGAGCCTTGACAACATGTGATGTAGACCTGTACTGTAAAGTTGGTACTTTATATCCTGAAATGGCACAACATGAGAGGGCTTTAGATTTGTTGATTGATTATCTGAGGAAGGACCAGGTTTGTTGAAACTTTTACTAGTAGTAGTTGTTTAGATTTGTTGATTGATTATCTGAGGAAGGACCAGGTTTGTTGAAACTTTTACTAGTAGTAGTTGTTTAGATTTGTTGATTGATTATCTGAGGAAGGACCAGGTTTGTTGAAACTTTTACTAGTAGTAGTTGTTTAGATTTGTTGATAGATCATCTGAGGAAGGACCAGGTTTGTTGAAACTTTTACTAGTAGTAGTGGTTTAGATTTGTTGATAGATCATCTGAGGAAGGACCAGGTTTGTTGAAACTTTTACTAGTAGTAGTGGTTTAGATTTGTTGATAGATCATCTGAGGAAGGACCAGGTTTGTTGAAACTTTTACTAGTAGTAGTGGTTTAGATTTGTTGATAGATCATCTGAGGAAGGACCAGGTTTGTTGAAACCTTTACTAGTAGTAGTGGTTTAGATTTGTTGATAGATTATCTGAGGAAGGACCAGGTTGTTGAAATCTTTACTCTTCTATTAGTAGTGTATAAGTTTTGTCAGTAGTCAGAACTTTTATACTCACTTTTGCCATTCAAGGAAACGATTGTGCATCGTTATTTGTATCCATCCATCTAGATTCTCAATGAACAAGATTGTAATACTTATGCTATGTTGGTGTCTTAAATGGATCACTGTCAGATTGATTTGATTCATTCCTTTATCAGAATAATTCATTTAGTGTCGATAACTAAAATTTTCTCATTTTAGTACATAGTCTTGATATCGAGGTATATAAATGAGCCAAGTACGGGTGAAAAGTATGGGTCGTACTTTTCAGAAAATAGCGAGTACGGATGATATTTTAAGCAAGTACGGGTGATATTTGTTGTGAGTACAGGTGACATTTGTAGCGAGTACGGGTGACATTTGTAGCGAGTACGTGGAGGTAATTTAGCGAGTACGAGTGATAAAATGTAGCGAGTACGGGGTGGGGGTATTGCGGGGCAAAATGTA